GCCAACCCTCCAACCAAATGAGCCACACTTCCCAAAGCTAAAATTCAGCTTTTTATTCATATTCTGGGGAGTTGTCCAATAGGATTCAAAACAATTCACCAAAATACAGTTCAGTTATTTTGGTAGTCTACTTCTAAGCCCACTGGAGTGTGTAATTTAGCTCTTCCCCTTATTCCTTGCATGACAAGACAAGTAACCTAGCCTCTCTCAGCCTGCTTCCTCACATATAAAGTGGAAGCATTAGAGTCCCATAGGACTGTGGTCAAAATTAAGTACAGGGTAAGGCAAGAGTACGTTTGCAGTTGTTGGCCTAAAAAAATAATATCATTAACAAATAATAATACAAGAATAAACTCTGTTTCATGTACTCACAACTGTACACCTACTGTTCGCCCCACCTGGAATTTGGCCCCACAGTAGTGCCTGGAGCGTATAGTTAGCTTTTGATCCATCATTATGAGCCATACAAAATTACCTTTTGTGAGGCTGCCATATTAACCAGAAACTGTTTCTAAAGAATACCCAACAATTTATTTCGATAGACTCTCCTATTAACATTTCAGACATGTTATTCAGTTTTAGCATAAGAGTGTAAACATAATTATTGTGTAGGTTCTTCACTGTTCACGGGTTTCATGACTGTGTTTTCTAAACCACAGATGAGATTTGTTTTGAAGCCTGGTGTATTCATGGTAAAAATATGACAGATAGTGACTGTCTCATAAAATTTGTGGTTACATGTCATCATATCTGTGGGAAACGGTGTCTGGTAACCTAGTAGCACGTTTAGGGAGAGAGACCTGCCCTGAGGGAGAGCTGAGTTTTGTGTTCATGTCGCTGGTCATAGACCCATTAGTGTGGTGATCTCTTGATGGCTCTCTTACTTCATAGACTTTTAATATGTGTTAAAATATGAACCATGGACAAGAGTAAGGAAATGTATTATTTTCTTTTTAGGCGAGAAATGATGCAAACCATGTCTGTAATTTGCCAGAGGGAAGAGAATCACTTTCTCATGGTTATGAAAACAAAAATATCTCAGACATGACTTCAGAGAGCTCCAACGCAAACAGGGTATTTTTTTCTTTTTGTAAAAATGTAATTTCAATTATAAAAATTAATATGTGACAATTAGAAAATTTGAGAAATGTATAAAAGTAGAAGGAAGGGGAAAATACTACATGTCGTCCATACTACAAAAGTACATGTAATGTTTAAGATGTATTTTCTGCCCGCCTCGTTAAAGTATGCAATCTGATACGTTCTGAAACGTGTGTGACAGAGTGCAGAACGGCTGTTTCCTTCCATGTCTGCTGCAGCCCTCACCACATTGTGTCACAGTCGCCTGTGTCACCCCCCTGGGGCGGAGACCACGTCCTAGTCTTAGTGTGGCTTCTCTGTTCCCCACAGCACCTGCCTTGTAAAGTGCCCAGCATAGCAAGGACTTGGGAAATATTTATTAAGCACTTGAAAGTGATAAAGGAAGATACAGATAGGACCCTTTATGTTATTGCTCTACTTTGTGTAGCTCCCCAAATTAGTATTATTGTATGTGGTCAGTGATTATATTTATCACATATTTCTTATTTCTTGGCTCAGTATTTTTCCTTGCAGCTCAGATATTTCACTTGGGATCATTTTCCTTTTTTTCCCTTTAGAACTTTATTCATGAAGGTTTGGTGATGGACAAATTTTTTTTCTTTATTGTGACTCTAAGGTACAGGGAATGTTGAGTTAATCATAGGACATATTTCCATGCTCTTGTTTCTTTTTGTTTTTTCTCCCTGTTGTTTTTCCATTGGGTATATTGAATTTTCTCCTGCTGTTTAAAAGCTTGCATTCTATTTTAGTTCATATAATGGTTGCTTCATATAATTTGAAGGGTTTTTAAAATTTCTCTCTGCATTATTTCTATTATTATTGTTGTTATTATTATTTTGACTGTTCACAGCACAGGCTTTATTTGGTGACCATTGTAAAGTGGGAGTTTAAACTCTCAAATCTGCTTCTCTTCTCCCAGCATTTTTAGTTACTCTCAGCAGGAGAGTTGTTCAGGGTTCACTGCCAGAAACAGGAGGTACTGTCTGTCTTCCTGCCAGCATAAATTAGCTCATGAAAAATTGGTAAATAGGGGAATGATGTCATTGTAATGTGGAAGTTTATATACAATTTTCCCCAGCATGTTAATGATTTGGGCTACCAGCAAGCCTTGAAGTTTCTTCATAAAGCCCACATTCTTTGGGGCTCAGTTTGGCCACATGTTTTTGCCTTGGAAGTGCTCACTGCAAAGATATCCCTAATCTTTGTGCGTTCTGACTTGGTTTCCTGACTTGGTTTCCATAACTCTGCAGACTCAGCTCCCTAAAACAAGCTTGATTATTTTTATAAAAACACATTTTCATACTTACTGTGGTATTCCTTTACTTTTTAGGAATTTGACATATCTCTTTAAATGTACCACTATAATTATTACGATTGTTAATATTTTTTATAGCACTCCAGTTACACAATGTCAAAGGTTGTGCGTGGTCTAGAGCATGTTTTTCAATGAGCTCTATTATTTTTAGTGAACAGTTTTATGAAATAAAAGTTGTTTTTCTTTTTAGGAATACATGTCAATCACACCAGAAATGCTTATGTGAAGGATTATGTTTTGAAGGCAGAGATAACATGATTTGATAATGCATTTAATGTCAGGTGGGAGAAAAGCAGAGAAATCACTGGTGACCTAAAGCTTGTTGGTTTGAGCAGTTAGAATAGTGGAGTTCCTAACTGTTCAGATGGAAAGAATATGGGAGGCGCCATTTGGGGACAACAGTTTGCTTTTGGACGTGTAAATTTGAGGTCTATATTAGATATCCAAGTGGAAGCACCAGGCAGGCAATTGTGTATGTATTGGCGATTCAGTGCAATGGAGACATACATTTGGGAGTCATCGGCACATAGCTAATACTTAAAGCCTCGAGATTATAGGAAATAACCTAGGGGGAGAAAAGAAAATTCCTGGCTGGCTTATTCTAGTGTTCAGAGGTTAGAAAGTTGAGAAATCAGCAAAGGAACCTAAGAAAAGTGGCACTCAAAATAGGAAAAAAACCAACAGAGAATGGTATCTCAGAAGAGAAATGACAAGTGTTTTAAGAAAAGGATGTGAGCCCTGGCTGGTGTAGCTCAGTGGATTGAGACGGGGGAAAGAATATTGATGTTTTTCCTTCTCCTTTCCTTCCCCTCTAAAGATAAATAAATAAAATCTTAAAAAAAAAAAAAAGAAAAGAAAAGGATGTGAACAACTGGGTCAAATACCACTAGTAGGCTAGGTGGAATGAGGAGACATATGGACCATTGGATCTGGCCACATGGAGGTCATTAGTACTTTGATGAGAGCTGTTTCTGTGGGGTAGTGGATATGAAAGCCTGATTGGAGTGGTAGGAGTAGAAGAGGAGACATGGGTATGATCAATTCTTTCTTGAAGTTGTGCTGCAAAGAATAAAGAAATGGTACAGAAGCTAGAGGGAGTGATGAGGTTGAAGGAAGGTTTTTGTTTAATTGTTTTTGTTGTTTTTAATGGGATATATAGCATGTCTCTAAGATGATTATAATGCTTTAGCTGGAAAGAAAGCTTGATGAGACAATAGAGAGAGGAGTCAACTGGAAGAGTGTTATCTTTGAGATAAGAGAGAATGGGATCCAGTACACAAGGGGGGGGGCTGGCCTTAGAAGCAAAGATATGTACATTAAATCTCACAAGAGGGAAGAGTATGTGGGAGTTGGCAGATTTGGTAAGAGGAGTTTGTGGATATTGTCTTCAGAGTGCTTCTCTTTTTCTCTGTGAAATACGAGGCAGTGCATTCGGTGGAGAGTGAGGATGGGAAAGGTTTGGAGATTTGAGTAGAGAAAGGAATGAAATAATGGTCTAGCTTCTAGAGAATGAGAGGGAGATGGCCAGGGAAATGCAGGGGGATTGCTAGGCAGAAGTAGGAGCCCTCCTGATATCAGAAGACATGACTTTAACATATAATCAGTCATCACTGGCTGTGCAGTTTCATCTGCCCACATTCAGATCCTGCAGTAAGGTGCAAAAGAGGTGGAGAGTTGGATTTAAACGTATTGGAATTTTGCCAACCAAATATAATGGAAGGAAACAGAGGCAAGGGAGTTGAGTGTTTTCAAGGGAGTGATTATAATGATGAACTATAGAATCTAAGCTGGGTAAGAAACTAAATGATAATGGGAACGGGGTAAGGAACATTGGGAAGTGTTTAAAGTCAATGAATTATTGTTTTTAATATGTTTGAACACTTGTTGAAATCATGCTACTAGAAATACATAGGAAGGAATAATTGGAGAATAGGATGCTTGCAGTTGGGACTAGGGAGAGGCTCCAGTTATTGCTAATGACAATGCCTAGGGAATGACTGTAGAATTAGGTGGCCAAGATAGTGGACTAGATCTTTAGAAGTTAGCTGGTGAAAGGACGGACAAGACAGGGCACTTGAATATTGAAATGACCGAGAATTTGGCAGGATTAGTTGAGTCACCTTGGACAAGTTATTTGGTTTCTTGGTGTCTGAGTCCTCCTCTCATAAAAGGATAATTCCTACATCATTGGGTTGTTGTAAGGATTAGATAAGATAAATTTATCTTAGATATTTAATATAATACCAGCTATATAGTAAGCACTCAATAAACAAATTTTAAAGTTATACGAGAACACATTTTGAATTTCTGCATGTAGCAAGAACATCTACTGCTTTTGAGAACTTTTCCCACTACTTTTTTTGGGGGGGGGTTCGGGGGAAGGGGGGTGGCCTGGGGTTTGTTGGCGTTATAATTTTGAAAGTGTGCAAACACCCCAAAGAGATGGGGAGAAGTGTAGTAGTAGTATTGTAGCTTATTTTAAAAATTAATTTGTTATCTAATTAAGAATTTATTTAACATCTTACAGAGTAGTTATTTAACTGCATTTCTTTTTAAGTTTGTTTCTGTTATTTCTTCCTAACAGAAGCGCAAATAAAGGAGGTTGAAGAAATGTTGTGTCAAGAAGGCTCTGAAATAACTCTGAGTAGCCCCAGTGAAGAGATTACATACTTACGGGTAGAGAGAAGTAAACTCTTGAGTGCACTGGCACCTGGGGACTCAAAGCCAGAGTCGCAGAGATACCTGAGCAGTAACCTACAGAAAAAATTTCCCCAGGTATTCCACAATTAACAAGATAATTGAATAAGAGGCAGTCAGTTTTAAAATACATTTGTTCATTTAATCATTCATTCATTAAAATGTCAGGAAGCCAGTCCTAACAGTACTTAGGAATACAGGCTTTAGGTTGGGTGGTCTTCCTTTGTCCTTAAGGAAGCTAGTTAACTTTTGTGAGCCTTGATTTTCTCATCTATAAAATCTGGGATCAACTCAATTGCTCTACAAGATGATCGTGAAAACAAAGTCACTTAATGTATATAAAGCTCTAGAGTAGTACCTCACACATTAATTAACATTATTTTTATTACTTATTGAGAACTTACCATGTTCCTGCTTTGTACTAGCAGACGTAGAAACAAAGTGAAATTAGACATGTAGACATGATCTGCACTGCAAGGAACACGTTAGTGAGGGAAAGGAGTAAACCAGCCATTGTAGTTCAGTGTGGAAAGTACTACGAGAAAGGAAGGCACAGAAAGCTAGGAAAACCTGGATCTAGGAGAAAGATGGCAGTGGACTAGGAGGATCTTTCTCTCACCACCACCCAGAACCAAACTGGAACTAAAAATGAAGAGGGGAACAGCCACCTGGAATAAACCACTGAAGACTACCTGAAGAGGAGACTCTTAACCAAGGACAGGCAAAAACCACCTCGAGACTGGTAGGAAGGGCAGGGACCCAAAAGGGGCTGGCACCACTCCCATGGGCAGCAGGCCAAGGTACAGTGCAGCAGTGAGTGCTTCCCCCTGAGAGGCGTAAAGTCTGGACCTCAGACCAGGCTCCCCAGCACTGAGCACCAGTGTCGGGATCAGCTGCCCACATAGCATCCAGCAGTGAAAGGCTGCAGGGTTTTTGCAAGGGAGAGACATAACTCGCTGGAGACAGAGAAACTGTTTTTTTCCTAAGGGGGCCAAGGCACAGTTTTCTCATTCTCAGCGACTCACCTTGGGCTCAGGTGAAGGGCGAGCAGTGTGGACTGGCATCACCTGATGAGACTCTGTAGTGAGAAGCTTTGGGGAGAGATGTGGAAAAATGGCTACTGGGTTCTGTATGCTGGGACATACCTTGAAAAATGACTGCAGCAGCCATTTTTCTTGAGAAGAACAAGCCCCTCCCAGTGGAAAAATAATTACCCCACCCTGTGGGTAACTCCTTAGTCCACTCTCTGTAATCCTGTTCACCCACCCTGCATCCTTTTTTTCTTTTTCCCCCAGCCTGGATCTTAACCCCTGCCAAGGAGATTGCAACATAGGCAGACTCAGGGTGTCAGAGATTGGCTTTAGGGCACAGCCATTTCATACACTTTCCTGGGAACCAAACTGGCGCTTCCCCCTCATGGGAGAACCATAGAAACAACCTCCTAGTTTTTGGCAAACCCAAATGCTGGGCGCTGGAAATGCAAACCCAAATGCATTGTTGGAAAGTGGCCTCACTCACCTTCCAACTATGGGCTCCACCCTACTGAGTTCAAGGAAATAATCAGGGACCAACTCAGACGTGTGGCGTGGGGATAGGGGAACACATCCACCACCATCCCTGAAGTATGAACAGCACCTCCCTCAGGAGATCCAAGGGTCACCTCCTCCTGATTCCTCCAGAAGCCCTCTCAGAAACAGATCAGTGGCTAGACTAAGAATGACAGCAGGTAGAGGCAGGACAGGCTGAGGTAGATCCTGCAGTGCCTTTGGCCATCAGCTGACCCACACCTGGGCCCTGTGCTGATAAAAACCAGCCTTGCAGTGCATCATGGCCCATTCCGGGTGCAGCCAAGCCCGGAGGAGACAGCCACAAACTGTGGATTGCTTGTAGCTTTGAACAGGCTGCTGAGGGCTAGATGTGGACAGCATCTGAAATTGGCTTACACCAGCTTCAGACAACATCAGAGCTGTGTCCAAAGAGAGAATCCAGCAAACAGTCACTAAACTCTAATGAGATGAATTCCACTTTGTTCTTTACATTATTTTTGTTATTTTTTCTTTTGTATGACCTTTTTTAATTTTTCTTTTTCTTCAGTTTTTAAATATTTTTCTTTCATATCTCTTACTCTTCCATTTTCTTATTCAATTTTTTTCTTCTTTCCTTTTCTTATTTTTTATTCTCTCCCTTTCTTTGTTCTTTTTTTAAAAATTGTTGGTCAAGAACAGTTTTCTGTCTTATATTCCCATCCCAGCCCCCCCCCCAATTTCTTTGTTCTTTTTTGGCTATTTCCTCTTTCTGTTACTTACTCTTATTGTTTCTCTTCCTTCTCTACCCTCATAATCATTTTTCTTTTCTTTGGTCTTCTCATATTTTTTTCTTTTACTATTCTATTTCTCTTTCCATTTTTGTTATTCTTTGCTCCATTATTGATTTTGCTGTTATTGTTGGAGACTTTTTTTGTTTATTTTGGTTCTGATTTTTATGTCGTTTTGTTTTGATCTGTCAGGACCTGTACAACAGTATACAAAATGTGGTGGGGGTTGAGCCTGGCAGTCAGCCAGTTGGAGGGGAGACCAACAAACAGGCCAACAACAACCAAGTCCCAAATATAAGAGGAGAGCCCACATAACTCACACAAGGGCCATTCCTAGAGCATCCAACTCAGGAGATCAAGGATATTGCACCACTGGGTCCTGTAGGTCTCCTACTTCATAAGGCCACTCCATGAAGACAAAGAGTCGAAGAAGATCTAATACATAGAAATAAACAAAGAGCGCTAAAATGGGAAGACAAGAAAACACCCCCCAAATGAAAGAAACAGAGATACCCAAAGAGCTAAATGAAATTGAAGCAAACACTTTATCAGAAATAGAGTTGAAAGTAATGGTTATAAGGATGCTCAAGGAACTTGGAACTACAAGGAACTTAATGGGAACAACATTACCATGGAAAAGGACATAGAAACTATAAATAAGAAGCATGGAAATCAAGAGTGCAATATCTGAAATGAAGGATATATGAGAAAGAATGAAAAGCAGGCTAGATGAAGCAGAGGACTGAATCAGCGATTTGGAAGACAAGGTAGAAAACACCCAATCAGAACAAGGAAAAAAAAAAGACTTAAAAAGAATGAGGAGAGTTTAAGGGAACTTTGGGTCAACATGAAACATAACAATATTCATATCCTAGGGATACCTGGAGAAGAAAGTGAACAATGGATAGAAAACCTGTTTGAAGAAATAATGACAGAAAACTTCCCCAACCTGGTGAAGGAAAAAGTCACACAAGTTCAAGAAGCACAGAGAGTCCCAGTCAAGATGAATCCAAAGAGACCCACACCAAGACACATCATAATTAAAATGTCATAGTTTAAAAACAAAGAATCTTAAAGGCAGCAAGAAAGAAACACTCAGTTACCCAAAAAGGAGTTCCAATAAGACTGTTAAGTAATTTCTCAATAGAAACACTTTATGCCAGAAAAGATTGGTATAAAGTATTCAAACTAATGCAGAGCAAGGATCTGCAACTGAGCTGACTCTATCTGGCAAGACTACCATTTATAACGGAAGGCAAAACAAAGAGCTTCCCAGACCAAAAGAAGAAAAGGCTAAAGGAGTTCATTAACACCAAACCATCATTGCAAGGGATAGTAAGTGGACTGCTTTAAGAAGAAAGCTTTATACATAGGTATAAAGGAATAAAATGGCAAAGTACCTGTCATTAATAACCTTAAATATAAATGGATTAAATGATCCAATAAAAGGCATAGGGTAGCTGAATGGATAAGAAAACATGACCCACATATATGCTGTCTACAAGAGACCCACCACAGAACAAAACATTTACACAAGCTGAAAGTAAAGGAATAGAAAAAAATAATTCATGCAAATGGAGATAAAAAACTGGGATAGCAATTCATATATTGGCAAAATAGACTTCAAAACAAAGACTATAACCAGAAACAAATAAGGTTCTAACATAATACTAAAGGGATGGATCTAACAAGAGGATATAATCCTTGTAAACATATATACACCTATATAGGAGCACCTATATATATAAAGAAAATCTTAATGAACTTTAAGAAAGAGATCAACAGCAATAGAGTCATTGTAGGAGATAGCAACAATCTACTGTCACCAATGGATAAATCTTCCAAACAAAAAAAATCAACAAGGAAACAGTGACCTTAAATGACATACTAGAAAAAATTAGTTTAATTGATACAGAACATTTTATTTCAAAGCGGCAGAATACACATTCTTCTCAAGTGCACATGATCATTCTCAAAGATAGACCAAATGATAGGACACAAAATAAATCTTAACAAATTCAAGAAAATTGAAATATCAAGCACTTTCACAGATCACAATGACATGAAACTAGAAATCAACCTCAATAAAAAAATCTAACATTAAAAAACATGGAGGCTAAATAGCATGCTATTAAATAATGAATGGTTCATCAATGAGATCAAGGAAGAAATCAACAAGTACCTGGAAACAAATGAAAATGAACACACGATCCAAAACCTATGGACACAGTGAAAGCAGTCCTGAGAGGGAAGTTTATAACATTACAGGCCTACCTGAAGAGATATAAAAATCTCAAATAAATAATATAATCCTATATCTAAAAGAACTAGAAAAACAACAACAAAGCCCAGAATGTTTAGAAGGAAGGAAATAATGAAGATCATGGTGGAAATAAATGGAATAGAGACTAAAAAAAATAATTTTGAAAGATCAATGAATCCAGGAGCTGGTTCTTTGAGAAAATAAATAAAACTGATTAATCTTTAACCAGATTCATCAAGGAAAAAAAAGGACAAAAATTAATAAAATCATAAATGAAAGTGGAGAAGTAACAACTGATATTACAGAAATATAAAGTATTGTAAGGAAGTACTATGAACTTCCTATGGTACTATGAAGTACTATAAAGTACTATATACTAAGAAATTGAACAAACAGGGCAAAATGGATAAATTTCTAGAAACACATTCTTCTAAAACTGAATCAGGAAGAAGCAGAAAACCTGAATGGACTGATAAAAACTAATGAAATTGAAGCAACATT